TGCATGCACCACACCATTTTCTCTTCCAAAGTTCTTTTCTCTTTTCAAAATTCTTTTAATGAAAATGATTTTCTTTTGAAAAATTTCATACCAAGTCCTCAATTTGAATTCAGACACACCCGAGAGTGTGCCCTAATTCCTCAAACCAAGACTCTAATACCAACTTGAAACATCCAAAAAATACAGTCCGAAAAATTCGTTTTAAATCGTTAAGAAAACCATAGTCATAAAACATCATATGAAAATCATATATAGTGTATCTCAAAATATCATAACATCTGTTAAAACATATCAGAGTATAAACATCCCAGACTAAACAAATGGTGTGTGCACTGCAATCGTCCCGAGCTCTCCCCTTGCTATCGGAGGTACTTGAAACCAAAACTGAAAACTGTAAGCACAAAGCTTAGTGAGTCTCCCCAAACTACCGCATACCATACACATAATCACATAATAGCATACATTGGGCCTTTCCCACTACATTGGGCCCCGTCCGACATCGAACGAATTCGTCATCGGGCCCCACTCGGTATCGGGCCTCTCCCGATATCGGACCAAAGTCTGGTATACATATAACATATCAACAATTCATATAACATAAACACATAACATAAACATAACCTGGGCCTACCCCACTACATCGGGCCCCGTTTGGCATGGGGCCTTGCCCGACGTCGGACCGAAGTCTGGTATACATATAACGTATCATCAAATATATAACATAACACATAATCATAAACATATAAAGCTTCCCCGGGCTTGCCCCGGAATCGGACCGAAGTCCAGAACACATAACACATAACATATAAGCTAAACATTCCTTCAGGCTTGCCTCGGCATCAGACCGAAGTTCGGCACACATAATAAACACATGCAAGAAATCACGAAGACGTCAAGCATACAACATTACTCGGGCTTGCCCCGTTATCGGACCGAAGTCTGGAAATATATAATCTACTTCGGGCTAGCCCCAACATCTGACATAAGTTCGGCATACATTAATATACATAAACGGGCCGGCCTTGGTGCCTTATACCTGTTCCACATGATAACACTCGCCTCGCACTGCTAAATTCTTGCGAATAAATCTCGGCTGCTGGTTGACAAATCTCCAAGATGTCAACATCAAAACAAAACCCAATTAACCATTTGCGCTTCCAATGCATAAATCTAAAATCCCCACTTGGAGCAAAAGGACCATTTTACCCCTAACCTAGCTTGGTCTAAGATTAAGGCCCAACATATACCTAGCAAACCTAAAAGTCCAATAACCAACCAAGGCCCAACTATGGCCTAATTTTCCAAATTAGGCACAACCCCTCTCATGGTCTTACCTTAAGGCCCAATCATTTAGTTTGGTCCAAACACTTGGTAATCCAATGGTCAAATATCTCATAATCATCAAGGCTTAGTTATGGCCCACCTATGGCCCAATTTTCCAAATTTGGACAAAACCTTTCCAATGGGCTGTATCCTAAAGCCTAATCTAAATATTCTAGTCCATATATTTGTTCTTGGATGGCCCATCAAGAGCCCAATCCCTAAAACCCAACAGAAAGGCCCAACCAAGTTAGGGTTTCTCAAATGAAATGACGATTAGGGTTATGTATTCTTACTTAACCCATTAACGACATAACCCATTAAGGACTTAATCCATTAAGTCCATCACTCCATTAGGCCATTCATACAATGTAGTTGGACATAAATCAAAATTCCAGTCTAACAATCCAAACGCGGGTCCTAACAATCCAAAACTAATATTTTCCAAAATTAGGGTTTTCTAAACCCTAATTAGGGTTTCCAACCCAAACGCAACCCAATTAGTCCAATTGGTAGGTTTTAAGCTAATTAATTGTTAATTAAGTCTGGCACCACCCACTACTACCTTGAGTAGTGGTGGTCAATGACGGCTCACGGTGGCAGCTACCACCTCATAGTGGTGGTGACGGATTTCATTAATTATCCCGGTCAAAATACAATATTACAACGAAATATTCAAATGAATTCACACACACAAATAACACATACACATACAAACACACCCAACCACCCTTGTGGCGGCAGGCGGTGGTTGGAGGTGGTAGCAACCACCGTACGATGGTGGTCGTGGGTTTTCTAGCCATATATTGTGTAAACAACTCCAAAAACACACTCATCCAAGGATTCACTCACATAGCCACCACATTATGGTGGTTTGTGGTGGCAGAAAGCAGTTTCAGGGCAACAACCACCATGGTCGGCTGCCATGGTGGAATTTTTCTCTCGATCTCCGGCCTAGCAATCAAGCACACACTACAAACATAATCAACAACAACATCACATGCTAAATTCGAACAAACCACCCACCTGGTGGCGTGCAATGGTCGGAGGTCGGCAATGGAAAGGAACAACCGTTAGGGCGATGGTGGTGACGCAACACCGGAAGAAGGTGGAGAAGGAGAACTAGCCAGAAAAGCAACTCGTTCACGGCCCGCGTGACGACGACGCTCGCAGCTTTACTTATCAGTCTTCGGCGGCTCCTACGGTGCACCGACATCTCCGGCAGCTAGGGTTGTTGTGGTGGCTTCCGACGATTGGAATGGTAGCTGATGGTGGCAATAGAACAGTGACATAAACAACAAGAAGAAGAAGGAGAATGGTGGACGTTTGGTGGTCTCTTAGTGGCCCTATCTGGTCGAAAAACGAACTAGATGGGTGGTGATAGCGATCGATGGCTAGTAGGTATAAGGTGGCAGCTGTTGTTTATTATTAGGGTTAGGGTTTGGAATTAGTAGCCTTAAAACGGGAGGGAAGATTGTCAGGTTCAAGTCCCGTGCTCAATATCAAACTTTCATCCTTTTTAACAAGTTTAGTCCCTCCTCCACAAAACCTTTTAAACTTAAGTCCAACATTTACCCTTTAGCCCTTGCTTCCAAAAATCCTTCCATAATAAGTCCCATAAAGTTTCCAATCATACCCTGACTTCTAAAACTCTTTTCAAAGTAAATCCATAATTTACCCTTTTAGCCGTCATCATTCAAAATCCATTTGAATTCAGGTCCAATACTTACCAAACAACACTCCGCTTTGAGAATCGTTTGCAAAATAAATCTAGAAATTACCTTTTAATCTCGAAATTACACTTAGCCCCCCCCCCCCCCCCCCCAAAAAAAAAAAAAAAAAAAAACTAACTTATGATATGTTCAACCCTTCCTTCTCGAAACATTACAATTTAAGTCCCCATTTTACTAGGAATTATGTCATTTAGTCCTTATGACACACAATGGTAACTTATTACGGATCCAGGGCCACTATTCGTTTATTAAATTTTATCCATTTATTTATTTAATAAACCAGATGTTACACGTTGGTATGTGGTGGTGTTTCAATAGTCTCCACTCCTTTTAGGTTGGCTTGGTCGGCCTCTTAACGTTGTTACCTACTTTGTACCTAATAACCAAGCCTACTATTTAGGTAATAGATATAACAAAATTTAAATATATTTTTTTAAATGGCTACACACACCCATACCGTCAGGACAAAGAGCCTTAAGTTTAAAAAAATATATGTAACTACATGTAGTTTGTTGTTTATAACTTATATGTTTTGTGGACCACTATATAGAGTATGAATGAGCGTTTGGACCAAACATCGGAATCAAAACCGGATCCGAATAGAAATTGAACCGAATAAGATATCTTTCTCGGTTCTCGGCTATGTATTTTACGCTTATTTGGTTTCGGGTATTTCGATCCGGGTTATCCAAATAACTTCTTAATTGGTTCTAAAGGAACCGGAACCGGAAATTGAAAAGTCGTTTCTTTAATCTGTGATTTCCCTCCTTGATCGATCAAACACGCACATCACATGTTCCCATCACATTGAATATTGTGATGGAGTTAGAGAAGGTTTTTAGCAAGTTTGGTGTTAAATGTAATTTTAAATTCCATTCCACGAACCGTTTGTAGTTCACAATTTAACATATTGTTTACACAGTTTACATGCAATTTTTTGTTGTATATTGTATGAGATCTCATACATGGTCCAAAAGAGAGAGTATCACAAAAATAAACCCTAAGGTTTTTTAATGAACAGTACCAAATAATCCGGTTTATTCGATTTATATATATATATTTTTCATTTGTATTTGATATTTTATCATATAGTAAATATTATTCGGTTTTTTCGGTTTATAACCGAACCAGAGCGATTATCGAAAAATGTACAATTTCTAATAAGATGGTCCTTTGTCAACTCTAAAATTTTCAAAAACAGAATTTAAATATCCTACTATTTATTCTTTCTTCCTATCTATCTACCATTTATTGATTAATGATGACAAGTAAAATAAAAAAATATATATATTTTTATTAAATATGACAGATGTTACGATGTTAAGTGTGTGGAAAAATGTTACTTTCTCTCATAAAAATTATGTGTATTTTGTAATATATATTAATAAAATAAAATAATCGACATTTGACGACTTCATCAATTAAAACATAAAATAAAATAAAATAAAAAATCAATAATAAAAAAGCAGAAGAAATGTGGAACGGACAACGACAAATATCAATATCCACAAACACAAAAAAAAAAAAAAAAATAAAATAAAATAAATGACGACAACACCGACTCTTGGTATGATTTTCGATATATTCACTTTTTGAATAGCACACAGGCTCACAAATCTGTATGTGTATGGTTTTAAATCTTGTATAAACCTTAACATCGGCTCCTTTTGATTCCTACTCTTCTGGTTTGGGCGTATTTGATTTTCTGATCCAATCCACTTCAATATCTAATTTCAATAAACCCTAAAAATCAGTTGACAGCATGGATCGTGGGTTTTGTGGGAGTCAGCGTTGTAGGTGATAAAACTATAAATATATGATGGGTAAAACATAATTTCTTTATCACTTATATCTCCGTTGTCCCATTGTTCTTTAGGTGATAAAACTTAAGTTGCTGTTTTGGAGCGACTTCAGCGTTTAGTTGATTTAAAAACAATTTAAATACAAATGCCTGGTGACACACGATGGCTCCATCTCTCTTCCAGGAAGAAATTACCATATACTGAACGACAATTTTCAAAATCTGCTTCAATTTCCAATTGTTCTGCATCAAAAACTATGTCTGCTGCTACCGGCGATCTCAACGAAACTCAACTCTCCACCTCCTTTTCCTCTACAGATTCATCAAAATCATGCCGACACTTTGAGTTTCCTGAGATTCTCTTAGCAACCAATAACTTTGATGAATCATTAGTAATTGGGCATGGAGGGTTTGGAAAAGTTTACAAAGGTAACATTATTAATGGATCAATTGTTTCTGTTGCTGCCTTTAAACGGTTGGATTCTATGTCCAGTCAAGGTGCAACAGAGTTCTGGGCAGAAGTTGAGATGCTTTCAAATTTGCGTCACTGTCACCTTGTATCCTTGTTTGGTTATTGTAATCATGAAAATGAAATGATCCTTGTATATGAATATATGCCAAATGGAACACTAGAAGACCACCTCCATAAACTCGGTACCCCTCTTTCTTGGCTTCAACGACTCAAGATCTGCATCAGTGCAGCTCGTGGGTTAGACTATCTCCACACGGGTACAGGGATTGATGTTGGGGTTATACATCGTGATGTCAAGAGCTCCAATATTTTGTTGCATGAAAGTTGGGCAGCTAAAATTTCAGATTTTGGGTTGTCCAAAATAGGTCCAACAAATCAGCCATTGACTCATGTGCACACACTTGTTAGAGGAACTTTTGGGTATCTAGATCCAGATTATTCCTTCACAGGAAGGTTGACAAGGAAGTCTGATGTCTATGCTTTTGGGGTGGTATTGCTGGAAGTGCTTTGTCGTAAGCGTGCAGTGGATGAAAGCCTTGGTGAAGAGCAATGGAATTTAGCAAGATGGGTACAAGAATCTATCAAAGAAGGCAATTTAAAGCATATAATTGACAACGACATAAGGGGTGAAATCTCTCCAAAGTGTTTAAAAGAGTTTGTTCGAATTGCAGAGAGATGTTTGCTCAGCAATCCAAAGCAGCGCCCGATGATGGCTGAGGTTGTGGTACGTCTCAATTATGTACTGACCTTACAGGAGAAACTCAACATTTCCTTGCAGGCTACAGACAAAACAATATTTGGAAAATTGCTTGATATGTTTCCCTTCGCCTCCAAAGGAGAGAACTCTGGTATTTCAATCTCCTATATGAATTGTGCATATTAGTTCTCTATGCTTTTGTTTATCCATTTTAGCATATATTAGCACAAAATTAAGACAATATAAGAAGGCCGTATACAAAAGTAATGAAGTTAATTTGTCTACGGAGGTTATAGTTTATAGTTTAAGATAGCCTAATCATGCTGAATAATTGTTTACCGGCTTTCATATCTACTCCCCGATTTTAAGGACAACTATTTAAAACGACATTAGTGGAAATAGTTTAGCAACCACCTCATGCCTTCCACCTTTACCTGATTTCAATTTAGCAGTGTAAAATTATGGTTCCGCTTTTGGTCAATTTAGCGGTATTGGCGATTATTTCACTGCTTTTTTAATGGGAAGTGATATTACCACTTAAGAAGTTGATTCATCAACTTGAAATATATATTAGTAACTTGTATGAAAGTTACAAAAGATGTTGTACCTCATGTGGATTAATCAATTTATTAAGTGGAAATATGAACTCCCATTTTGAATAACCCTATATTAGTTGTAGCACCGCTATTTTCTGGACATTGGTTCTACCTTCCATCTTTGTTATTTCTGTCTACCATCCGTCTTTGTTATTTTTGTCACAATATGACCCAAAGTAAGCCTAATGTTGTGTTTTCGTTAAGCGAAATTAAAAATCTTACTACTTTTGGTTCCTCTAAATCCTCCTATGACATTAATTATGTGTTACTTAGAATACAAAAGCACTTCACATTTTGTAGTTTTATTATTATTATTTTAATTTCTTTTTATCTACATATAACTTTGTTGTATTTCCTTATTTGTTTGGTTGTTTTATAACCCCTTTCGTTTATAACAATTGCTGTCGTATTTAGTATATCAAATTTTTAATATATCCTATTATATTATTATTGTTTTTCTCATCAATAATTATTTAAATTTTATAACCGTTTTAAATAGAGAAATTAAATTGATTCCTAATTTTTATGCCTACAAATATCCCTACCTAGTAACATTATTAACGTGTAACCATTCCATATTTTTAAGTTTGTCATTAAGATTATATTTGGAATATATCAAATCAAATTAAATTGAATGGTGAAATGATGATACGTATCATAATATTAGTGGCTAGTAATATTTGTAGGCATAAAAAAGGAGGCAATTTAATTTCTCTTTTCCTATTTCCTAATGACCCCCCTTCGGTAAACAACGCCCCTCCCGACGCCCCTCCCTGGTATGACATGTTCTTAAGTTACTTTTTGTTAGAATTCTTTTGCTTTGTTCTATTGTTGAGTAATACTAATAGACTAATTAAGGCTTCAAGATTAAACTTAAGAACTTTAAATATTATTATGGTATGTGGAACCGATTAAAGATATGAATGATTTGGATGAACTCAAATATGTAAATAAGATTTAGTTTCATTAGAGGCTCGAGAGAACAAATCTTTACAATAGATTGTGCAGAACTATTTTGTGTCAAAAACTTTTGCCTCTCTACTAACTAATGCTCCTATATATAGGCGTCAAAGAAGCGCTAGAAAGGAATCCTAAGTCGACAATTCAGAACTGCAAACCTAAGATTAAATAAGATTCCAAAATTGGAATTACAACATACAAATTAGAATCTAAGAAAAGATAGTAAATATTATACACGCTTATAACTAAAGACAATCTAATTCAAATTCCCATCCCAACACACACACACACACACACACACATATATATATATATATATATCTATATATATATATATATATATAGATATAGAGAGAGAGAGAGAGAGTATATGCGATCAACCTCAGAATGTCACCTGAGGGAAGTGATCAATGGTAATGTCAGATCTTATACATTACATGCAAAATCCCATTATACCCTCGTTTTTATGTGATTCTATAGACATAAGTGTATATTTTTACTATGCACCCCTTTAATTTAATCTTTCAATATAATAAACCTAGGGTTAAAAGTGTAATGGATCGTTCTATACGTTTTATTCGGTTCTATAATGATCATTTCTCTGTGTGTGTGTGTGTGTGTGTGTATATATATATATATAATGATCATTTCTCTCTTTCTCTCTCTCTCTCTCTCTGTGTGTGTGTGTGTGTGGTGTGTGTATATATATATATATATATATATATAGAGAGAGAGAGAGAGAGAGAGAGAGAGAAAGTTTATATGTGGATAGACATCTATTGTGCAGATGTGCGTTGACAGCGCTATTACGTGAAATGACTAAGGGAATACGTTGTTTGATAGTGTGAATACGTTTAACTTCATATAACTACTGTCGTTATCATCTATAAGGTTACTATGAACTTTTATTTATTTGTTTATTTATTTATTTTAAGATTCTCATTCTGTCATAATATGTTTTTGATAATCGTATTCTGCAAGAATGAGAATGAGTGAACAAATATGCATGAGAATAAGTAAGAATGATAATAATTAGTGAGAATGTATGATAGTAACATTAGTTATTCACATTACCAAATAACTTATTTTCTCAGTTATTTTCGCAGAATAACACTAGTCCACAAACGTTCGGACTATAGATGTCATCCATATATGAAATCAGAAAAAGAAAAAAAAAATCAGGGGCATTTTTGTCACTTTATACGTAGTTAATGAAATGGTATAGATGGTAACTAAGATAGGACCAAAACCGAAGGATATACCAACCATGAGTATCAATTGTATCAAATTTCCGAAACTATGGCCAAACATGCAAAAAGGTGTAAACCACTGGGCCCAAAACTGTAGTTTAATCTAACAGGTAATTAAATATTTAAACCATGTACTAAACAGTTGAATACAAATATTCTGATGTATCTTACCAATAGAAGTTCTTGATGTCATACTAGTTGGGATAGGCTGGAATCGTCGAAGAGGAAAACATAAATACCCAACTTGTATGCAGTTTATTTTCCTGACTTGTGCTTCCTACTTTCTTCTACAGCTCTTCTTGTTCCCTGTTGGGTAGTTTACTCTTCTCTATGCTCACAGTCTTATTACCATTTAAGGGTTGCTACCATTCCTTCATCGATCTGTATTTATGGTCTCTATGCTCTTACTAACCAGTGCTTGCTCATTACTGCAGGCTCAATTACACTGTTACACATGATTTAGAGGTCATGGTAGTATTAATGTTCTTCACCACATTCTTCTCATTCAGAAAAATATTGAGTGCATTGGCTGAATTTTAATAATTTATTCTCTGTATGCTGTAGCATATTGTCAATGCTTTATTGCCTGTAGCATATAGTTTCTGACGTTTTCTTTACAAAGTCATGCATAATAAGAATGGGCAAACTAAAGAATTCCTATAATTAGTCATATAAAACAAAGTGGAGAACTGAAGTAAATAGCACTCTATTATTTTTTATTGGCTACCCCCTCTCCTTAATGTACTCCTAAATATACACCTTTCATCCCAAGAAGCACATGAACCTTTGAGACAACTCTTGATACTTCTAGCCACTATGCCCTTTTGAATTGTTGGAATAGTTGGGATTGTGAATTGTGATTATTTAATCAAATTGTATTCATCTGTTACAGCCCATGGCGATTCAAAGCCATCAAGTAATATAAAAGACACCAGTAATAGAAATGCTGATGATAGTGTACCTGTTGACAACAAAGATTCCACAAGAACTGTTCCAAAATTATTTGAAGTATATAAGTTTGATGATTTAGAAGTGGCTACACAAAACTTCTCGTTCCTATGTCATGGTTCTCGAGACTTATTCATAGGTTGGGTTGACAAGAACACATTCACACCTTCACTTTGGGGGATGGGAATTGAAGTTGCTGTTAAATGGTATAGTGAACTTCAGCCAAAGTGCCAGGTAAGTATCTATAAATGTACACAAGTTTTGATTCTCTCACTTCACTTCATAGTCAGTTTACTATTAATTAAATAGGGGGAAGTGATTAGCGCATAACATTATTTCTCTTTAAACAACAATTTATGCTTTATATGATTCTACAATACAATGTTCTAAAAAATAAATTGTTGTGTATGAAGAAAACATGTTTTGTCTGGACCAACTCCTATCTTTTTTTTTTTATTTTTTTTTTATTTTTTTTATTTTTATGCTTACCGTTTGTGGTATAGAATCTCACACAAAGGCTACATGATGCTCAAACTACAGATCTAGTGTTCTTGTCAAATCTTTCTATTGAAAAATAAAAAATTCCTTAAAAACATAACCTTATTAATAAGGAAAAATGACTTATAAGCCCAATGAAGTTTTTAAACCGTTCAAAAAACCCAATTATGTTTTGTCTATTCAAGAAAACCCAACGAACTTAACCTTTTGTCTAAAAAGCCCAACTAATTTACACTTTCGTTCACTTCTCATTTAGGGTCAACCGGCTAATGAAAGTCAAATACTGACATGGCTCATGACGTGTAATTAAATATCATAAAATGACTTGTAAGACCAACGAAGTTTAAAAACCATTCAAAAAACCCCAATCATGTTTTGTTTGTTGAAAAAAACCCAATGAACTTACGTTTTTGTTCAATCCTCATTAAAGGCAACCAGATTCATTATGTATACAACTAGTTGGCAAATGACATGACATTATATTTAATGACATGGAATAAACATATTAGAATTGCCTTTTATATATCGATTTAGGGTTTGGAGAAGAGAAAAACGAACGACATATGTGTTCGATCTCTTGTAACAACTACTTCTTATTCTTCTTCTCAATCCTTAATTTCCAACTCAAGATCTACAAAGAAGATATTTGATGATGAAAAACCTTGTGGATGTGGTCGCCCTTCTTGGATTTGGACAACTAGAACGGAGGATCATCCAGAGAAAAAAGTTCAAGGCTTGTTCACAGATGGGTAAGTGTAATTGAAAGCTTTATCATGTCCATATTCTATCTATTTGTTTGGTTTCTTTCAAAAACAAAAACTTATTAAAATGGACATGATAAAGCTTTCAGTTATACTTACCCATCTGTTCGAACAAGCCCTAAACATTATCTAGATGTCCAAATCCGAGAAGGGAGTCTACATTCACAAGAGTTTTCATCATCAAATATCTTCTTTGTAGATCTTGAGTTGGACATTAATCACTGAGAGGAAGAAGTAGCTATCACAAGAGATCGAACATAGACATCGTTCGTTTTTCTCTTCTCCAAGCCCTAAGTCAATATATAAAGGGAAATTCTAATATGTTTATTCCATGTCATTAAATATAATGCCATGTCATTTGCCAATTAGTTGTATACATAATGAATCTGGTTGCATCTAATAAGAATTGAACAAAAACGTAAGTTCTTTGGGTTTTTTTCAACAAACAAAACATGATTGGGGATTTGTGAACGGTTTTGAAACTTTGCTGGTCTTACAAGTTGTTTTTCGATAGTTAATTACACGTCATAAGCCATATCATTCATTGACTTTCATTAGCTGATTGACCCTAAATGAGAAGTGTAAGTTAGTTGGGCTTTTTAGACAAAAGGTTAAGTTCGTTAGGTTTTTTTAAACAGATATAACATAATTAGTGTTTTTTGAACGATTTGGAAACTTCGTTGGGCTTATAATTCATTTTCCCTATTAATAAAAGACGGAAATGGATATGGCATCTGAACCAAGGGAAATGACTCGTAGTTATGTATACTATGGCTTTTGACAAGTGAGAGATGAGATTATGTGAAAATGATATGTTTAGCTTTATACATTTGTTTTATGTTGTGAACGCAATTGACGAGTCTTTATCATGGAACAAGGCTATAATATTTCTTTTATAAATCTGTGTGCTGAATGTAACTAATTTTTTTTTGTGAGATCAGAGAGTGGTAAACGCCTTAGGACGGTTGTCTCATCCAAATATTATTCGTCTCTTGGGATACTCCATCGATAAACAACCCCAATGCTTGCTAGTTTATGAGTACATGCAGCAACAAAATTTTGGTCACTTCTTATTCGGAGGTATACTTGAATCTCTCTAAAAAGCTATTATTAGTTTATCTTTACTCACAGGTTGAGTCGTTGCAATGAGGTAGCTGATGTGACATGCATAAATTCACATTGCAGAAGATATCGGCAGACCGCTTTCTTGGGAAAGACGACTCTTGATAATAATAGGAGTAGTCCGAGGGCTCGCTTATATGCATTCATCAATAAATGAAGTCATACATTGTGATGTGAAGTCCTCTAATATTTTTCTTGATAAGGTGCTGGCACTGTTATTTAAGCCCCCTAAGATTTTCAGTGTTGATAGAATCACTTCAATGCTTTTGGTTTTATGCCATTAAAGTTAACGACTTGTTGTTTACCCTTTCTTATTTCAGGATTTTAATGCAAAACTTGGGGGTTTTGGGAGGGCACTAGTTGGCCGTGATATCGGGAACCCACATGTTGCTGGCACCTTTGGTTATTTAGACCCAACTTATATTTTTACGCGTAGGTTATATTCTAACTGAGTGATATCCAACAATATGAACATTTATAGATTGCTTGAGTGAGTGTGGTGATTCGTAACGTTAATCTCGCTCTTTTATGATTATAAACAATACCCTTCATTGTTTTTACAGATTGCTTTACTGCGCGGAGTGACATCTATAGTTTTGGTGTGGTAATGCTGGAAACCCTAACAGGCCAACGGGCATATGACATGAAGCAGCTTAATCATGACCGGTATTTGACAAAATGGGCAATTCCATTCTTCGCAGATACAATCAAGCTAAAGCAAATAATGGATCCCCACCTTGAACAAAATTACTCCATTGAAGGAGCTTTCGAATGCGCAAAACTTGCAGCAAGATGTGTAGCTGAGGATCCGAAAGATAGGCCTTCAAGTGAAGAAGTTTTGCGGGGGTTGGAACAAATATATGCAGCGACCAAATAACAATAAAAGATATAATTTATGCTTAGAACTTGGTTTCTTTAGATGAATACTAAAAGAACATGAATGGTTATTATGTTTACACCATATAGCTTTTCTTCGTTCTAAACATTACATCTCTATCGTAAAAAAAATTGTAAACTGCACCATCTTAGTAGCCCAAGCCAACCCGTCCCAAGGCCTACGTAGGAGATTAATCAAGGAACTTTAATAATATTTTAGGTGTGTCAAGATTTGAACCATATACCTCCTATATGCAATTCTACTTCTAAATTATTAGACTCCCATTACAGGGTTTATGTCTCTATTATAGATGTACATGTTAACCAACATAAACCAAATTCAATATTGACTCACTCGAAATGGCAGCAAAGTTTAATGTGTTCATCCTAGAAAGGTTAAATGAAGTTTATATTATTACTTGGAACTAAAAGAAATCATTATAGATGCTTTTGCTAGGTAATAATAGATGACTTGTTTATAAAAATCAAGAATATTAATGGCATAGATACAGTATGTTATCAAGCCAACACACTGCAAAATTACCTTAAATATGGCTAAAAACACATTGAAGTTCCTTGCATGTATTTGATTTGGCAATGCATTAAACCGATCAACGTGGCCATCTATCGCACCCTGCGATGCGCTGAACCAACACTGACCGGGGGTCGAGACTGCAGTAAGACCAATACACAAAGTAGTCTCACCAAACGTATTTTTTTACCATTTTTAAACGGATATATTAGAAAAGATTTGAATTTTTTCCTCTAATATAAATAAACACTACCACTTCTCATTTTAAAACACAAAACAAACACCAAACACTTCCATATACTTTAGATTCATAATTCCAAAGTGTATTCATCGTCATCCACTCTGTCGGATATGTTAACTTTGTAGTAAGAGGAATCTATCAGGGATGTTATGTGAACAACATTCTCTTATTTACAATAAGTTGAAGCCACAATTCGCGTTCAAAAATGAGATATTCTTCGTTATGGATAAATCATGATGTCGGGCAAAACCAACTTGTGAATGACAAGGAAGGTATTATTTTTACACATTGATGATGATATTGATGGGTTTTAGCCATATGAACATTCCTATGTGCACATACAAACGCTAATGCTTGGATCTAGGTTTCTCTAATTGAACATGCATTGAATCCAAGACTTTTGAACAATAGATCTAGATTATAACATAAGAAAAACAGATCTAGAAGATCACCTTAATTTGCTTGCTTGAATCTTCTTGTTCTTGGAACTTAGAGTCACAATTGTCACTCATCTAATGGCTTACAAACACCAACTAGCAAGATGATGATTATAGAGAGAGGAGAGGGGAGGAAGAAATCGGCCAGGGTTCCTTTAGAGACAAGAGTGTCGATTTTCCATGACCCCTAGGGTCTATTTATACTTGTAAGGCTCCTAGTGTTTCACCGTTAAACTCTAATTGGATAACTTAGGCCCTAAGCAATCCAATACCCTAATGATAAGCCTTGGACGATTTCAAGGTCTATCCAAAGCCCTCAAAACCGTCCCCTTTTATCCTTAAGGGATTATTGCCCAAAGTACAACTATCATACAATTGACAGTTTATGCCCTTCTATTTAATTAATCTCCTTAAGTCACCAAATTAATTCCTAATTAATTTATGACTTATATTAATCAAATAATAATATTATTATAATAATATTTCTTCTCTCATTATAAATCATCCTGTCAAGTTGCTATGGTGAAGGCAACCCAAAAGGACCATACACAATCGGGTCAAATACTTGCCTAATATAGTTGCAGCCTTAGACACTATTCCAACAGTCTCCCACTTGGATAAGTCTAGTAACTATATATACAAGCATAATCCGATTAGAAATCGTAGCTCTCAAAGACGCTGTCAAACTCTGATCTAATCAATCTTGTCCTTTAGATAAGGGATCGTACAATCCTCTGTTTAGATATCATGCTGACAATTCTATGGAACCAATTTGTCTAGCATTTGGTTTCTCGATCTCAGACTTATTTGACATAGAACTTAATCGAACACATCAATTTAGTTCTCACCGGGCCCGGCACATAAGTCAAATCAAATCATCGAGCGGCCGAGATATCGCTTTTACCCTCTTAAGATAAAGGTAACAGATAAACTTCGACTTATATGCATTTACTTATTCATTAATCAACTATACACAACAATGCGTTTTATAAGTTGTGAATTCTGTACCTTCCTTGGTATTATTTGACTCGGGTGCGAGTCGGTCTTTTGTATCTTTGGCTTTTAGCCAGCACATCAGTATGATCGGGAGGTGATGAGTCGACCCCTGCGGGTTTCTATAGCGGATGAGAAAGCAGTACATGCCACTGACGTGATTCGAGGATGTGTGCTCGAGATTTTTGGTGTCAAGTTCACTATAGAATTGATTCCTATAACGATGGGGGATGTCTGTGTCATCGTGGGCATGGACTGGTTGAGTAAGTTTGGGGTAGTCATTGATTGCGAGAGACAACTGGTGACTATACAATACCCTAGTGGGGGAGTGCTTACTGTGTATGGTGAGGGGACCCGGTGTGGGTCAGCGTTTTGTTCGGCTGCCAGGGCGAGACAGAGTTTGCAGCAGGGCTACAGTGGATTCATAGCCTATGTGATGGATACTGGAGTGGCCACGGGGAGGCCAATTTCGGTTGACGAGGTTCCAGTAGTATGCGAGTTTTCGGATGTGTTCCCCGAAGAATTACCAGGTGTGCCTCCGGAAAGGCAAGTGGAGTTCCGTATCGATCTGGTTCCGGGAGCGGCGCCCATCGCCAAGGCGCCTTATCGCCTCGCTCCAACAGAAATGCAAGAGTTATCCTCACAGCTTCAGGAGCTGTTGGGAAAGGGGTTTATTCGACTGAGTAGCTCACCTTGGGGAGCGCCAATTCTATTTGTCAAGAAAAAGGATGGTTCATACCGGATGTGTATCGATTACCGGGAGTTGAACAAGTTGACGGTTAAAAACCGTTATCCGTTACCTAGGATCGATGATCTGTTCGATCAGTTGCAGGGGGCATCTTGGTTCTCTAAGATAGACTTGAGGTCGGGTTATCATCAGATGAGGGTTCGGGATGAAGATATTCAGAAGACTGCATTCAGAACTCGTTATGGACATAACGAGTTTGTGGTGATGCCTTTTGGGGTCACCAATGCCCCGACTGCGTTCATGGATCTTATGAACAGGGTGTGCAGGCCGATGTTGGATCGGTCGGTGATCGTATTCATTGATGATATTTGGTATATTCGAGGTCTAGGGAGCAGCATGAGGAGCATTTGAGGGAAATTGTTGGAGTATTAAGATTGGAGAGGCTGTATGCCAAATTCTCCAAGTGCGATTTCTGGTTACGAGAGGTCCAGTTCCTAGGGCACCTTGTTAACCAGAAAGGGATATTGGTCGATCCGGCCAAGATCGAGGCGGTGATGAGATGGGAAGTGCCGAGATCGCCCACTGAGATCAGGAGCTTTCTGGGATTGGCCGGCTATTATCGAAGGTTTATCAAGGATTTCTCCAAGATCGCCGTGCCACTTACTAAGATGACCCAGAAGGGTGTTGCATTTTCATGGGAACCGGAGCAGCAGTCCTCATTCGAGACCCTTCGTCAGAAATTGTGCGAGGCCCCGGTGCTGGCACTCCCGGAAGGGATGGACGATTTTGTGGTATACTGTGATGCGTCTATATCTGTATTAGGGGTGGTGCTTATGAAGAGGGGACACGTTATAGCGTATGCTTCGAGGCAGCTGAAGCCTCATGAGTCGAGATATCCCACCCACGACCTGGAATTGGGGGCTGTGGTGTTTGCCCTCAAGATCTGGCGGCACTATCTTTATGAGGTTTAGTGTACCATATACACGGACCACAAGAGTCTGAAGTACTTGATGGATCAGCCAAATCTGAATATGCGACAGAGGAGATGGTTGGATGTGGTGAAGGATTATGATTGTGAGATCCTGTACCACCCGGGCAAGGCTAATGTAGTGGCCGATGCGTTGAGCCGTAGGGCGGAAAGCGCCCCGATCCGAGACGTTTGTATGAGGTTGACGATGATGACTCCAATTTTCGACACCATCCGAGGAGTTCAGGCTGAGGCTGCGAGACCAGAAAACCAGAAAAAGGAGCGGGTTGTCGGTCAGGTATCGGAATTCATTACGGATGGTCGGGGACTTATGACATTTCAGGGTTGGATTTGGGTACCGTTTGTAGGCGGTACACGTACTATTTTGATGGAGGAAGCGCATCGATCGAAATTCTCAATTCATCCCGGGGCTACTAAGATGTATTTGGACCTAAAGAAGGAGTATTGGTGGCCCTGTATGAAGAGGGATGTTGCATGGTTCGTCGAGAGGTGCCTAACTTGTCGTCAGGTTAAGGCCGAGCACCAGCGTCTGCACGGTAAATTGCAGCCGCTGGAGATTCCCGAATGGAAGTGGGAACAGATTACCATGGATTTTATCACCAAATTGCCAAGGACTGCGAGGGGGGTCGATGCAATTTGGGTGATTGTGGATAGATTGATGAAGAGCGCTCATTTTCTAGCCATCAGTGAGAGCTCTTCTGCGGAGAAATTGGCAGAGTTATATGTGAGGGAGGTGGTATCGCGGTATGGGGTTCCGATGTCGATCATTTCAGATCGGGATGTACGATTTACTTCCAGGTTTTGGAAGAAGTTTCATGAGGAGTTGGGTATGAGGCTGCATTTCAGTACTCTATACCAACCACAAACGGACGGACAGAGGGAGCGAACGATTCAGACGCTTGAGGATATGCTCCGAGCATGTGTTTTGGATTTTGGAGGGAGTTGGGACACCTATTTACCCTTAGCAGAGTTTTTCGTACAACAACAGCCATCATTCGAGCATTGGTATGCTACCCTTTGAGCTGTTGTATGGGAGGAGGTGTCACACCCCCATCTGCTGGGGAGATGTGGGGCAGCAGGTGATGGGTAGCATGGAGATTGTACTTTAGACGACCGAGCAGATACAACAGCTCAGGCAGAGATTGTTGACCGTGCAAAGTTGTTAGAAGAGTTTTGCGGACAGGCGTCGGTCCGAGCTCGAGTGTCAGGTAGGTGACCTTGTGCTCCTAAAGGTCTCTCCCTGGAAAGGAGTGATACGATTCAGGAAGAGGGGCAAATTGAGACCCCAATATATTGGAACAGGGTAATTGCGATGGTAGGCATGGTAGCCTACCGGGTGGATCTACCTGCTGAGTTGGGACAGATCTACAACACCTTTCA